TGCCCACAGTAAAAGAATGCAAAACACCTCCAGCTCTCTTCCCCCCCACAATTACCCCTCCCCCCCGTTGCTAATGACAGCCGAAAGAAGTAAGCCTAGTAGTAGAGATACTAAGGGAGAAATAAAGGATAATAGTTGGGGTACCCGAAGAGATCTTGAGGCTGACATTTGATCTGTTTCATTTTTTTGGCTTACTATTTTTAAATCCTTTTCTAGACTTCACACGATTTTATTTATTTGTATCCTACCTTTATTATTTTTACAAATAAAACAAGGTGGCAAACATATGCAACACACCTTCCTCTTCCTCCTATTTTTCTCATAACAAATCCCCATGAGGTGCATTGGGCTAAGAGAGAATGATTGGCTCAAAGTCACCCACCTGTCTTTCATGGCTAAGGCAGGACTAGAACCCACGATTTCCTACTTTCTAGCCTGGTGCCTTAATCATTAAACCAAACTGTTGCTTTTCTGAATGGGAACTGCTAATGAATATGCCTGCTTATTTTATTATGGGAGTCACCTATGGCTACTGGGCTAATTTTCTGGAGTGATTTCATTTAGTATCTCAAAAGACAGGTTTCAATGGTGAAATGCAACAATCATTTTCTTAAAAAAATATGTCACTCATTTCAATGTTAGTGGAATCGTAAATCCATATTCTTTAATCTTGAAAAGATTACTAGTGTAGTTCAAGAGTCATCATTCATAAAACTATTTTTTTTTAAAAGTTCCTTACTGTCACAAATGTTACTATTACAAATGTTATTGCTATTGTTACATATCATTAATCAAATACTCATGTCACTCAAACATCAATTTTTCAAGAGTAATACCTCTACTGTTTATTAGTCACTCTTTTAATAATAGCTATTCATTCATTGTTACTTAGCTTTTGATTGTTACTTGAGCATTGTGACTTAGCTTTTGAAGAGATGTGACTTTTGTTCTGCATATATAGATTACCTAGACATCCACAGTGGAAAACAGAAGATTATTGAGGTTGCTAAAATTGCTCTTCCAGTCTATTTAAAAGACTAAAAATGGAGACGTTTTGGGGATCAGTATTCATTACAATGTGAATGTAAAGCAAGGAACATTTATGGATACCAAGAAAAATTAATGGGTTGAAATGAATGTTATGGTAGACATTTGGCAGCAAGCAGCATCAATAAATTACTATTGAAGTAAAATCTACAGTTCCTAATGGAAGGTCAGAAGTCCTAAAAATTAATCAAGAAACACAGGGATCTGTTACATTAACAATTTTATCATTATTACCAAGAGAAAAAAAATCTTAAAAAACATTAACATAAAAAGTAGATGATAACACATGATTGGCAAGATAAAGACTTACCTTGGAAGGCTGGTGGCTGATTGCTCACTTCTTTTAAATCATGAGTGATTTGTGACTTTTATAGCTTCTTCTGGAATGAAGTTTTGCCATTAGTGATTTTTAAAGGTCCTCCAATTTTAAAAAGTGGTTTAGTTTGAGGCTTGGGGCCTGATATTTGAAAAATATACATAGTCTTAATGATAGACTTTATGTATGAAGTGGATGAATACAGGTAGTTCTTGACTTATAACGGTTCATTTAGTAAAGATCAAAGGTACAACACCACTGAAAAAGTGACTTATGACCATTTTTCACACTTATGACCGTTGCAACATCCCCGTGGTCACGTGGTTAAAATTCCAATACTTGGCAATTGACTCATTAGTCGTGAAGTCATGTCTGATCCATCGCAACCCCATGGACAACGTTCCTTCAGGCCTTCCTGTCCTCTACCATACCCCGGAGTCCATTTAAGCTCACACCGACTGCTTCAGTGACTCCATCCAGCCACCTCATTCTCTGTCGTCCCATTTTTCTTTTGCCCTCAATCATTCCCAGCATTAGGCTCTTTTCCAGTGAGTCATAGTTATGACAATTTCAGTGTCCTGGGATCATATGTTCATCTTTTGCAACCTTCTGACAAGCAAAGTCAATGGGGAAGGGCAGAGTCACTTAACAACCATGGCCCTAACTTAACAACTGCAGTGATTTGCTTAACAACTGTCGCAACAGAGGATGTAAAATGAGACAAAATTAACTGTCTTACTCAACAATAGAAATTTTGAGCTCAATTGTGGTCATAAGTCAAGGACTACTTGTACTCCTCTGTATAGTATAATTCAAATTTGGTGTATTTCAATTTTTTCCAATATTTTTATTTATAATTCACCCCATTTATGGTAATAAGATTGCCTATATTTATTTCTCTGTGGACATTGTTAAATCCATGATATTTTGCTTTAATAAGAAGCAAATAAAGATGTGCAGAACAGTATGTTTTATTACTTAGATTATATAGTTTCTTTGGAACTCTCAATTACACCCATGGAAACGAGAACACAAAGGATTAGTTCCATAACTTTATGAACAAAGCTTCCATGATAAATATTTCATTAAAATTGGAAGATTGTGGTCTTTAAAAGATTTCACACATAAGGTAAGATATATTGGAAAGCAGAATATTGCCAGAGGCAATTATTTTAGTTATTTCAACAATTTAACAAAATGTTCATCTAAAATGCAGTTTTAAAAAAAGAGGCAATGTTATTATATTTCTTTTTTATATGATTTTTTCTCCATAGTGTGATTATTTCTCCATTTGCAACATTATATAAATGAGTTTTGAACTGGATTAATCAGCACTGTACAAATGCTGTCTAACTATCAGCAGATAACTGAGAAATATCCCTTTCTATGGCATGCAATAGATGAATGGTAACATCCTTTATGGTACAATACAGTAACACATGACAAGCAGCAGAAGAGAAGTTCTCACTGGAATAGTATTCTAAATAATACTGTAAATATATTTCAAGCAGACGGAAGCCAACCATGCACAATAAAATGAAGAGGAAATGGGATTACTGAGGGCTCTTTTCTGAACGTGTTAAGCAGACAATAAAGTATGTTATGGGGGGAAATCATCATAGAATTAGTGAATTATAGTGGGTTACATTTATTCCCATGATACATCCTCATCTGAGAAGTGTTACATTTTAATACTCCATTTCTTCTTTCCCTGGAATTCATATGTATATACAATAAAAAAAAAATCAAACCGTAGGACTGGCATACTGATGAACCTGGTGAGATGACGAATGAGTGAATAGACTGGAATGTTATAATTTCTCTCTGGACAAGGAGAGGATTTGCAATTATCCACAAGTACTCCAGGCAGTTGCTCCTCACAAGAAGACTGCAAGACATAGTAGCAGTCTCTGGCACGTTTAGGGCTCTGGTAGACAAAGGGAGTGGCCATGCTGCTCAAACCACAGTTGGTGCATTTGAAAAGATATTCAGTTTCTATATTCCACATTCCCTTTTCTAACTATGTTCAGAAATTGCTTGTTAACTGCTTTTCAGCCATTGAGAACCTTTCGATTGATAAGTCTCCTTAAACTCTTAGCAAAATTAATTTTAAAGAAAAGTTTAAGAACTTTTAAAAAATTAAAAAGGAAAAAACAACAAAAGAATTGTTAGAACTTTAATTTCAGAAAGTTACAAAGAGACTAAGAGTCCAGATAGGTTTGAAATAAGATTTTGGAATTAATAATAATCCTTCTTGTGGGAAAATGCTTTTGTTTTTAATAATAATAATAATAATAATAATAATAATAATAATAATAATAATAATAATAATAATAAAAATAAAAATAAAAATAAAAAATAGAATGAGACTTCGAAGGTTGGACACTAGAGAAAACTACTGTAGAGTGAACTAAAAATTACAATTAAAAGAGATGAACTTTTAAATTTGACTTACAAATACAGAAAGAAGCAAAATATTTTATAATTGGACATATTGTAAGATATTTTTGAACAAGGGACTCTGAAGTTAATTTTAAGAGAGTCTGCCTCAACAGATACACTGAGTTTAAAAGATATGTGGAAGACAAACAAATTTTATCTGATCAGATTGAGGTTGATCTGAAAGTGGGCTTAAAAATTACAGGCCACAAGAACGATCTGAAAAAAAAATGCTGTTGGACTGCAGATACAAAAAAAACTGGCTGATGTTTTAACAAATAACCTCAGTGATCTTGTGTGATTCACTTAATGATCACAATAGGAACTGTCGGAACTGCCACATACGTTGATACAATTATGTGATTTTGTGCTTTACTAATTTGTCACTTAGTAATGGAGTTTCCATTCGTAATTATGATTATTAACTGAGGACTACCTGTATAAGCAATGTTTCTCAACCTTGGCAACTTTAGGTTGCATAAACTTCAACTCCCAGCCAGCATGTGAACAGCTAAAAGAAGAAGAAGAGAAGGAAGAGAAGGAATGATAACAATATACTGTATGTACTGGAGGGAAATATTGCTCCTGGCTGGTGGGATACAGAACAGGTTTCTAACCTTAGCAACTTTAAGATGTGTGGCTTTTCCACATCTCAGAATTGCCATAGTTAAAGAACATTGAGCTAAAGAATGAGCTACAAATACCGGCCTGTTTTTGTTTTTGTTTTAATTCTCTATTACTCAGAAAAGGGCAAACAGGGAACTAATAAATACAATCGAAACAACTGTATGTTGCTACCCTCACTTGTTCTAGCAGAAACGAACCATAATTAAACAGATTAGGATTTACGGACATGCTGCTTTAGGGGAACAATTCTAAGGAACTTTTACTCCTGTTTAGCCTCACTCTCTTATTTATATGTGCCCAGTGCAATTGATAGACAGAGGGACCATAACCAGATTGAAAAGGAAGCCATTAGCAATATACAGCACATTAGAGACTGTGGTAATGAATAGATTTTTCTTATACACAAGCCAGCAATTTAGTTTTTTTATACTTGCATACTTTTTGTATATTTGATACTTGAAGCTGGGCAAGCTTAAGAAATCAGAAGGAAAGGAGTTGGAATCTCATCAGGAATTATTCTGAACTGTTTCTTCTATATAGAAAAGATCTCTGGAATTTATGAAAACCGGCGTCTCTTCCTGTGACTGCATGCTGACAAGAAAGGATGCAGCTGCTTTTAAGAGTCATAAATAAGGGCTATACTTGTGGCTGTGTCTATTCCAGGGCTGTCAAACTCCCACATGCCCACACCTGGTTTAGCGAAGGGGAAAAAAGTCCTAATACATCACATGATGCGAGTTTGACAGCCCTGGTCTATTCCAAAGCATTTTTTCTCTTCAAATCTAAAGCATTGCACGACTCTATTAGGGTGCATATCAGTCACTTTGAGCACAAGCTTGCTTAATGCCTCTAATATCAAGTACAGACAAAAAATGTTGGGAATTGTCTCCTTGACAAATAAGTTTGGAAAGCTTTATTTGTGAAATCACAAGGTAACACAAGTAGCTAAGCTTTCAAGGGGAAACTTAAGTTTAAACAGCTCAGCAACACAGGAAATAAAGATGAGAAATGGTGGCAAAGTAAAGATATTTATTTCCTTTGAAAGGATACAGAAGCTGAACAATTTCACTTTCTGGTGAATCATGGATATCGCAAGAGTTTCCAGAGAATATACATTATCCCCTGTGCTTCACAGGAGTTTCTGATATAGAAACAGCTTTCCTGGAATATTTAATTTTACTGTATTGGAAGTTTTATTTTCATTCTGAAAACATATGTAGTCTTAGCTTGCATCTCTCCTCATGGATATTTCGAGAATCATTGCTACTCACAAGTGCTGAGCATTACTTTGAAAAGCAGTGCTATGCATTGCTGTCTGCTTGTTTTGAAAGAGAATGTTAGTTAATTGCTAATAACAACAAAAAAAGAATCCATACTGTAAGATAAAGAGCAAAGTTTGTTTGAGGTTAATAGCAGCAAGATTTGCATCTCTTTGTGTAAAACAGGGTTGGTGGGTGGTGGGGGAGGGATCTTTGTTTCTTTCTTAATCTTGGACAACAGACAATGTGCCTTTTACATGCTTGTATAATTTGTGGCTAAATAATCCAGAAAGCAAGTGAAGCTTGGGCAACATGATTACAGGATGTTTACTACATGTGGAAAAACTCTGCTTGTAAAATTCATGGTTTCTTTGGCACTTCCAGAGCGTGGCAACAAAGCAATAGCAATGGATCACAGACCATTGTACATTGCTCCTCTCAAAACCTCTGCTAGTTTATGGCTCTCAGTCTTGTTTTTTTTAAAGTATTCCTTATCTAAGAAACACTGAAAATCAATTTTCAAATTGACCTGATAAGATTGTCCCAGAGGCCAGTTTTGTTTTCCTTTGGCCTTGGCATAAGCCCCCCCCCCCACTATAATTTGTGGTGTGATAGGATTTACTCCGGTTGAAAGATCCCATTAATCTTTCCTTGAAGTTCAAGAAGAGTTTGGCTTACCTCAAGGATT